TGAGGGCAAAACTTCATGGTGGCTCAGGTTGCAGGGCTTTTATTTAGCCTAATCTAATAGGCTTTTATTGAGCCTAATCATTCCTCCTGTATTTAATTTCTGGCCACCATAAGCCATTTCTCTCCTGTATTTATGCTCATCACTGCAAAATATCTGCCTGCTGTCACTGCAGTGTAAAACTTTGGTGACACTGCAACATTCACAGTGAAATCTGGAAATTGCTGTAGACAGGGATTCTGTATCCCCTAAGAGGGGAAGGAGTGGATGTGTAGGTGAAGGCAGGAGGGAGTTTTCCAGATTCTCTTTGAAGAAGAATAAGCTCTACAATGGCACAGTGGGATGAAGAGTCGGTAGGAGATGCACTCCAGTGTCCTAGAGATTTACTCAGCTACTACTAGAGATTTGCAAAAAGGTACTTGCTTGTTCCTCTTCTTTGGTTCCTGTGGGTAAAAAGCAGCTGCAAAAATTTTTAGTAGATTTTTATTGCATAAAGGTAATGATAAGATTTTTACAGATGTTTTGTATTCTTAACTGTGTGTGAAAACTTTCTTACCTTCTTCAAATATTTCCATTTTTGATTCCCAGAACAATTCCTCAGCTTTGGTGAGAAGGAAATATAATGACAGTGGTTGATTTGGCCTGTTAGGGAATGAAACATCTCCAGCTCGTGGCAATCATAGCAATCTCCAACATTTTGTGCAACATGATCCACCTTTTTAATCTGTTAACCTCTTCAACATCTTTAGCCCTTCACTGAAGATCTTCTACATGATCCATATTTATCATCAAAACTTTTTTTACCTTTCATATTTCTCAGAAAACGGAGGAGGTAACATCAGTACTGAGTACAAGACTGTTTGCTGTGAAGCAGAGGCAGATGTCTGGCGCCACAACCCTGACCTGAAGTGCTACATTCAGGAGTCACATCCAAAACACACTGCACTGGCAGGTGCCATTCCTGGTGAGGGAATTCTCGGTTAATCTCTTCTTGTGTTGGCCTTTTGCTTTGAGAGGGGCTTGCCCAGACAGCTTGATGTGAACAGAGTTTACATGGGCAGAGAGACGTCAAATTACATTCATAATTTGCATCCACACATGCTGCAGCCAGCCAGTCTCAGAAACTTTGCCTTGGCAAATGGACATGGCCAGTCCTGGACAGAGATGAACACAGGCTCAAGTTCCTGTAATTACATAGTGACAGACACAGGGGTGCTGAGGGAAGGGGGTACATGATGGGTGTGCGACAAGGTCCCAAGAATTGACCTTATCTAAGTGCTAAATGAGGACATTTGTCAACTAAAGGTGACATTTATATATTTAAATTTCTTTCATGGTAGATACCTATGTCATCTTCCTTAGGTCATGGACAAAAAGGTTTTTAAAAACCAGTCAAAGTGGATTTCCTTATTTGAACACTTCATCAAGGATGGGTCTCACCACTTGTTGGTTATTTCAGATAAGGTTGATGTTCAAAAGTATCTGTTGTGGTGGGGTGACAAGAATTTGCTTTGACTGTTGATAAAGTGAGCATTATGCCAGGTACCTTCTGTAAAACATGATGAGCCAGAGGCTCTTTGATCTCTCATTCATCAGTTCCTTCTCTCTTTATCAGATGGGGCCAGTTCCTCTGTGTGGTGCTTACGAGGCAGCTCATGGCTTAGCACTCCTGCTTGCTTCACTTGGATGCTCTGTTTTCTTCTACTCTGCAGGTAATCCTGAATTTCTCACCAGCAAAAAGAGCAGCCTTGGCATCTTGCTGTCATTCCTGTTTGTTGGGGTTTGCACAGGATGGGGCACCATGTATTACTTCTTGCGGCTGCGGCGTCGCCAAGGTACAGTCTGACAAATTGTGTGTTGCCCGTGGGTCCCATACCTGGAAGGGGGAAAAGCATAAAGAGTTTTCCTCCTGGATTTCATCTCCATTGTGCTGTTCCTGCAGTTCTTAATGATGTTCACTGGGCTGGCAGAAAAAAACAAAGAAAAAAAAATTTCCATCAGTTTTCTCCCTGGATGTTTACTGTTAGAGAACAGGATGGGTCTTGGTGGACAAGCTTAGTCAGGCTTTGGAAACATTGTCTGCCAGTGGGCAAATTTTATACAGTATTTGGAGCCAGTTCCCAGGATAACTGAATGGCTGTCAGCCCAGTGAACATCATCAAGAACTGCAGGAACAGCACAATGTCCATCAGAGTGCCCATCTGGTGGCTTTGTTGTGAAAAATGAGCACAGAAGGAATTTCCTCACTGCTTCCTCCTGAAGCAAGGGGGAAGCACTGGCAGGGCCAAGGAATCACAGGGCTCAGCCTTCCCTCCTTGGGGCAGTCTCAGCATTGCTGTGCATCTTCCCTGGCAGGGATGTGTCCCAGCCAGGACATCCAGGCATGGGCTGACAGGGCCTTCAGGAGAGTGGGTCCCTCTCCCAGCCCTGCCCGCTCCAGAGCCAGCTGGAATTCAACAACAAATATTTCCTAAATGCATCCAAGAGGGAAATTTGTTTTGCAAAGCAATATGAAATGGGTCTGTGGACACTTCTTGAAGCTGCCATAATGGCTTTCCCCCTCCATCCTGTGTCCACCGGGTTTTTGGCACCTTGTGTATGCCTGAGGCTGGGCCTCCTCTCAGTTCCTGAACTAGTGCATCCCCTGGTGCTGGTTGTTTCTTCTGAGAGCCAAAGGATTAAATTTCCAAGTCTGAATTTGTTTCAGGAGGAGTTGCACAGCCCAGCAAAGGCAGCACAAAACCAGTCTCACTGTTGTTACATCATTAGATTAATGCATATATTGGTGTGAGGGGTAAATAATTTACCAGTAATGACTGCCCTGAGGTCCTGCCCTGGGGTGCAATGTCCAGTGATGACTCAGGTCTGTCCTAGAGCCCCTCTAAGGCAGAAGTTGATGGGTCACAGCACCAGGGCAGGGTCACAGCAGAGCCCTGAAGCTGCCCCCTTGCTGGAGAAAGGGGTGGCTCAGAAGCAGATGGGAGAGGGAGGTGCCTGGAGGACTTCACAAATTCAAGCATTTTATTTATAATTCTAACTGGAATCTACCAATTTCTTTGGTGGCCTCACAGATTTTTTTTTTTTTTCAATTCTGCAGCTTCTAGGCAAGACAGAGAGGCTTCTGACAGAGAAAGGCTCACAGATAACCATCTACAACGGAGAGAACTTCTCTGCCAGCAGCATCCTCCTCTCTCATGATGTACAGCAACCAGCTAAACACAGACTCATTTTCCATGGGAACTGCTGCCCTTGTAATCCCAAATCGTCCTGTTTTCACAAAGGTAGCTTCACCACATCCACACCTTCTCCAAGCACTGTGACTCTTGTCCAGCTCCAGGCCTTTTGAGCAGCACAGGCAGCACCAGGAGCCCCCATCCTCCTCTCCTTGGCTTGGCTGCAGACAGCAGCACCCCAGGGTGTGTGGCTGACTCAGCAGCACTGAAACCAGTTGAATTCTCTCTGGGACAAAGTGGGAACAGCTCTGAAATACTTCCCATGCCCTCTGCATGGCTGTCACTTGGTAATGCCACAGCAGCACCCAGGTGTCTGTATTGTTTGAATTCTCAGGTCATCTCTGCATTCACCAAAGCCTTTTGCACCACAAGCTGGCTGGTAGGTTGAACTGGAAGAGTTTGGACGAGATATTTGATGTTGCCCCCACCTGCAGGCTGAGGAATGACTGAGTGTTCCTGTGCAGGGCTGGGTGGGAGGGTGTGTCCAGCTCCCTCAGGAATGGCATGGGGTCACAGAGGTCCCCAGGCTGAGCAGAACTCTGGAATCAATCTTCCTGACAAATTAGGCAAGTTTAGACAGCATGAGATGAGTACAGCTCCTCAGGAATCACTTTGGGTATTTGGTATCTTTAAATCATTCCCCATTCCCACCTGATTTGAATAAATCCTCAGCTTTTGCATAGGATCTAATTTACTATCAGGGCTGTTGAGCAAAAATCAGTGGCAGCACAAAGGGAGAAGCAGATCCCTAAAACAATGTGAATATTTGCTGAATCACTGTCCTTTTGCCACACACACAGTTCTTGGTTCATTTCTGCTTTGACTGGATTTTGTTTGTTGCTTGTTTTTTTCCTCAATGTGTCTCAACCATCCAGTCAGTAGCAGAGTGAACCTTGCCAACAAACTCTGTTGTGCTGATGCTTAATATCAAATCTGGATTTTACTGATCCCCTTGCTGGTGATGTTTTAAGAGATCTCCAACACTTTGAACAGGTGATTCCCATTTGATGCCTCTGTTCCTTGCTATTCATTGTACAAATGTTTGTTTTCAGCTCCTTTGGTCACTGGGGTCATTGGAGAGCTCTTAGGGTTTCATTATACATTTGCATACCTTTGTTTCTCAATGTAGACCGGATTTACACTTTCTGCAGTCATCTTTCAGAGAATCTGTGTTATCCAATTCCCTGATGTTAATAAATTCTTCTTAAAAAAAAAAAAAGGTGTGTTTTCTTCTATTCTCTGCCACTTTTTCTTACCTTTGCATTCCTGATTTAGATCTGACACCAGCTCCAGTTATCAGACTGAGTTTACTGCAGCTTGTATTTTGAGAACTAATAGGATTATCCAGGGAATCTACAAAGAGAACTACATTTTCTGTGTGAGTGACAGAAACCACTCTTTTGCCAAGTCCTTTGAAGCTTGGGAAGGTGCTGAGCTGCTCAGGTCACTGGGCATGAAAGGCACTGCAGGTGCCAGAGCAGCCAAGAAATGACACAGGGACACTGAGGTGCAGTCTCACAGAGCAGTTCTGTTGATGGACGAGTTGGTTTTGAAACCTTTGATATGATCAGACCAAGAGGAACTCTGATGTTACAATTTCAATTGCAATTCTTATTTTTAGGTGAAGCAAGTGAATAGTTAAGAGAACATCTATCAGTGCTTGGGAGGGAGACTCCATCAGCATAACTTGCTCAATGCTTCAGAAAATGAACGTTTAATTGCTGGGCAACTCTTTTTTCTCAGTGGTCCATCTGGCAAAGATGTGGAGTTAGTAAATAACCACCAGTTTTTTCATGAAATGCTTGGATTTTTGTGCAGCAACTCCAAGGGTTCCTGCTGAGTTCCTCACAGCTGCCAAGTTCCTCAGAGCAGCAAAGCTGCAGAAAGCTCAGCCAGCACCAGCACAGGCACTTCCAGTTTCCATAAGGAGATCCCTGAGATGGGAGTGCAACAGTGCATGCACAGGGCTCCTTGTCCTGCACAAGCAGGGGTTCAGCTCACAAACAGGGGGTGCAGTGCATTTCCTTCCCCCACTTTCTGGCTGTTCTTTGAGACATCCTGCAGTGAAGAACCAGGACCAGCAGCAGATGCCCCAGAGAAAAAGGGTTGGTGTGGATTCACAGGGGCAAAGGCTGCAATTCCTACACGTGGTGCTGTGTGCTGAGGTACCTTGGGCTGGGGTTGTGTGACTCCTGTCACTGCCACAGCCCTCTGTGCCTGCTGTGACAGGGAGTGGCCTTGGTACTTTCTCCTTTATCTGCATGTCAGAGGATATCTGGTGCCATGCAGAGATGACATTACGCACTGGACCTTGGTTTCTTTATCACCTGACTGACCTGAAGACTGCCCTGTAGATATATTTTTCTTGTCTAACAGCAAGGTGGTTTTCCAGGAGGAATCCCAGGCTGTTTCAGATAGCAGGGAAGGGTGAGCTCAGCAGCTCAGCCCAGCCACCAGCAATCCATGAGATTTCTGCTCCCACAGGCTGCTTTCAGTCCCTGTGAATCTGCAGAAGCTCAAACTGGCTGAGATTGGCACAGGTTTGCTTGGAACAGAGGCTCCCTGTGAAATCCCTGCTGAAAAGGCTGTGCTGAGAGCCAGGGTGGAAGAGGGCAGTGAGGTGAAAGGGTGAGCTGTGGGCTGGGAGGAAGCATTGCTGCTCTCAGACCCAGCTGCCCTCTATGGCAGGGCTGGCACTGCTGCTTGTCACTGCCTGGGGGACAGCTTGCACAGGCTGACAAAAACTAATAAAGGTTGTTCTGTGTGTCAAAGGTAGGGGCCAAAGGCAAAGATCTTCTGGATCTGTGGCGATATCTGGAATAGTAGGGAAGAGGGGAAAGAGGAGGGTCAAGCACTCTCCAGATCACTTCCCTGTTGTAACCATGTGCTGCATTTGCTGAGAATTAAAATCGATTTGATAGTTTGCTTTACTTTATGCCACCCCAAAAAAACCCACAAAAAAGAGAGAAGGTAAAGCAGCAGATCTTACCCTCCTCTGTACCCTGTGCTTACAGGCCCTGAGCGCACAGCAGACCTGGGAGCCCTCGCATGGCCAGGCTGGGGAGCAAATCTCAAATCCAGTCACTCACATCCCTGCTGCAGTACCCAGAGGGACAGGGTGACTGCCCAGGCACTTCTGAGCAGGTTCCTGAGCAGTTTTTGGGAGTGTGATTGGCTTTTTTCATGTTTTCCCTACTGCACTGTGCCACACATCAGCACGGGCTTGCCTGGTGTCAATGTTCAGTGATCTGCGAGTGAGCTGACCTGCACTCTAAAAGTGAAAGTGAAAATCTGATTACAGGTAATTAGGCAATAATACATCTAATTACCTTTTAAAGAAGGGAGGAGCCAGTATCCTGCTTTTTCTCCAGGATCCAAGGGACTTTCTCCTCTCCTGGTCAGGCTCTAGAAGCGGGGATGAATGAGCTGGGGCTGGAAAGGCTCCACAGGCACAGGGAGAAGGGAAGGGAGAGGCATGAAAGCTTCCTTGGTCACAAATAATGTGTGTGGTGCTTACACTGTCTTCTTTTAGTGCTTCTGTTTTAGAGCCAATGTCTTCTCTTAGAAAATGTTGCTCCTTTTACTTGTTAAGAATACAATTGGCTGAGTTGCAAGTTTAATTCTCACTTTTTTGCTGGCTGGAAAAGGCTTTATTGTCCTGATAAAGATTGAAATTGTCTTGGCTTTGCAATGAAGTTAAAGGAGAAGAAAAAGCCTGAAATTTCAGGTAATGATGTTTCCTCGAATAGATCCTTTTAGCAACAAGATCAAAAGACCTTGTTAGGTTCTACAGATTTCCTGTCAAATCCTCTTTCTCCTGCTGGTGGTCTGGTTTGTGGGTCAGGTCTGCCCTGGGGGAGGCTGGGTGTGTGTGCTGGTGTTTGCTGAAGGAACTCCACAGCTCCTCCTGCTTGGCAATTATTCACATTGTCACAATGCAGATCAAATCTGCTGGTTTGTGAGCAGGGCTTGTATAATAATTGAGGGTTTTCCTGAAGTAATGGAGCATATCTCATCCCCTTCCTCCTTACAAAGCCAAGACTTTTGCATCTGCAGCCACCAATCTAAGCCTGTGGGAGTCCTGACAAACTGAACTGATGTTTCAGATGGTTCTGCATTTCTGGGCTGGGAGACAGCTGCCTGATTTTGGCACTTTGAAGAGCAAATTTGAGCCGCCCTTTTCTCGGTTGTCTCCAGAGGGGAGGTAGGTGCTGCCCACTGACAGCTCTCTGCTGCTGCCCTGGGGGCTGGGGGTTGCTCAGCAGCACAAAAACAGGGCTGGTGGTTTAAGTGTGAAGAAACCCAAGGTGCACCTCCCAGAGAAATGGTTGTTCCCCCACAACCATTGTGATACAAAAGCAAAACTCTGCTGACTTCTTTCAGTAGACAGCTCAAGTAACTGGCATACAACAGCCTAACCTGTTGGGGCTCTTGGGACTCTTTACTCAGGGCTTAAACTCATTGTTCAGACTGAGGGAGCAACTAAAAAGACCTTTGAAGATGCTGTGGATGCTGTTTCTCCCAAATGCATCCCTCTTTCTCCTGCTTCTCCCGTGCTTCCCTGCCCAGGATGGTACGTACAACATCGGTGCTCTTACATTTCTCACATTTCAGTCTTTTCTTTCCTTTTTTCCAACCTTTTCTAAACTATGTTTGCCTTAGACATGCAACACTCTCTATTTCATTTTTCTTCCCTTGCTTCTGATGTAGCTTCTTTCAGGTGTTTCTCATTTGATTTCTCTATTCCTTTCTATTCATTGCACAAATACTCCCCCTTCAGTTTCTTTGGATATTGGGGTCATTGGAGAACTCCAAGGATTTCATTCTACATTTGTTTCTTAAATAGATTGGATTTACACCTTCTGTAGCCCTCTTCCTGTATTGAATCTGAGAATCTGTATTATCCAGTTCCCTGATGTTGTTAAAAGCCCCTTTAAAAGGACAAGTGTATTTTCTTCTCTTCTCTGCCACTTTTCCTTACTTTCAAATGCCCGATTTAGATCTGAAACCAATTATCAGGGTAATCTTAGTGAAGTTTGTATTTTGAGAAGTAATAGGATTTTCCTGGGAATCTAGAGAGAGAACTAAATTTTCTGTGTGAGTGACAGCAGCCACTTCTTTGCCAAGGCCTTTGAAGCTTGGGAAGGTGCTGAGCTGCTCAGGTCACTGGGCATGAAAGGTGCTACAGGTGCCAGAGCAGCCAAGAAATGACACAGGGAAACTCAGGTGCATTCTCACAGAGCAGTTCTGTTGGTGGAGTTGGTTTTGAAAAGTACTTTGATATGATCAGACCAAGAGGAACTCTGATGTTACAATTTCAATTGCATTTCTTATTTTTAGGTGGAGGAAAAGAACAGTCCACAGACGTTATCAGTGCTTGGGAAGGAGACTCCATCAGCATAACTTGCCCAATGAATCGTGCAGAGTATCAGTTGGGAATGTACTTGAGAGTTATTAGACAGAATGTCCATGTGATATATTGTTCCAAGGAGAATTCTTCACATATCAACCCTGACTTTGCTAATCGCACCGAGTGTTCAAAGGAAGGGGAGAACTTCAGGATAACCCTGCACAGGCTACAGGAGTCTGATTCTGAAAACTATGCATGCATAGAGGTCTTAAAAATGAAGCAGATATATAAGAAGACAATCATAGTACTGGTCAAAGGTATTGCAATTCCCCCTTTTATGTAAAGAATTAGTAAATACAGATCTGTATTTTAAATCAAAGATTGGAAGGTGACACAATGGGAGGTTGAGTCTGACAGAACCTCCTCCGTGTCTGCTCAAGTACAGATTTGAAGGAATGTGTGGGTTTGCTCTCTGAAACAATGAAGAAAACACATGAGATAGTATGGTATCAAAAAACCCTAAACCATTTTAGAAGATTAATTTGTGACTCAATAATGCCAGCTACAGATTTTCACATGAGTCACAGGTTGCTGCAGCAGTTTGGAAACGGTGAGGTCTCACAGCTCTTTCCAAAACAACCTGTCAAAACTCTTTCAAAATCTAGAAGAGCAAAGAGGGGGTTTTTTAGTAGCAGTTGTTTTTGCAAACCTCTTTTGTTTTTACTAATTCGTCTTAAATGACAAATTGGTAATAATTGGGAGGCTGGTCTTATGCGGGTTGAGCATGAGTGAGTGAAGGGTTTTATCTCTTGTTAGTGAGGAGTTGCTGAATGGGAAGAAGTGTTTCTTTTTGGCAGGTGTTTCTGGTTGGGGGAATAATTTTTCTGTCTTTGTTATTTACATTTTTCGTTAGAAGAGGGTTGAGTCCACACTATTCTTTGGCAGTTTATTCCTCCATGTACCTCTCCTTCCAATGAGACCTTCTAACCTGAGACATCTTTCCCAAAGCTTACAGGGCTTTCTTCCTTTCCTGTCCCCCAGGCATGTGAGATCTAATTGATTGCTGATCAGCAATTGTAGTTTATATCCATTAAGGATTATCATATCCTCCCTTGGGCTTCTCCTTTCAAACATCTTGGCCGTGTTTTCTCAAATGAATCACATCTTGTTTATTATGTATTGGCTCTCCAAATTATTTTATTATTATTTTATTGCTTTATATCTCTGATTCTTATCCTCTTCTCTGAAATGCTTACAGCCTTCCCTTTACAAACCTGATATTTTCTGTCCTCATTCCCTGATCCACTTCAATGATAATATTAAAAGGAACAAGTCCTGTCCTCAGAGGAACTCAGTGGAATGTCTTCCCAGCTGCACAGTGAGTCATTAATGACCACTCCATTCTCATGGACCATTTTCACATTGATGGGACACACACTGTGTGATTTGATCCAGACCAACAGCCCTCAGATCTTTCTCTGCTTGAGAAAGCAGGCAATGATGCACGGCTGCAGGACGTGCTGGTCAGGCTGTATTCCCTTAGAGGAGGTCAGTATTTATAATTTCTTGGGTAGTGCAGACCCTGTACAAACAGCTAAACCTGTTGGCCAGTCCTCCTTTCAGATCCTGAGCCAGGGCGTACTAAAATATATCCTTCTTAAAGCCTGTGTAAAGCATGTTTAAAAATTCATTTTATCTACATTTCCATGGTGTAAGAGCTGAAATGAGGGATGCAGGATTCCAGGCAGCTCTCCAAAATGCAGTTTATTGTATCCAGGATGTCACAGCAGTCCAGGGTCGTGGGTGACAGAGCTGTGCCTACAGCTGTCAGCTCCAGCTGCAGGCAGGCCTGGAGACCCTTTGGTTTTGGTTACAATGCATTATAGACTTTTCTTTGCTGAGCATCTTAATACAGTAGAACCAATCTATACCTTAACTTTTATCTACAGCCTATCATAACTACTCTAATTACCATATCCATGTTACTGTTCTCCAATCACTAAAAGTTAGTACATTACAGTTTAAGCTAGAAGTTGTTTTTCAGTTTTCTTGCAGTGGAAAATTCTGAAACCTTTTTTCTACTTGCAACTTTGCTGCCTTGTTTGCCTGTGCTCTCTTTCTGCTTGGTACAAACATCTTGTTTGAAGTGGGTTTATCCTTTGCTCTAAGCCATAAAAACCCTTCTAACTAACACACCCTTTGGCTCCTTGTTTATCCAGTGAGACTGGCTCAGCAATTCTTTTCTTCTATATCAAAACTTGCTTTCGTCTCTATTCCTTCATCAGACTCTACACTCAAAAATCTTTCTGCCAAGCATCCATATCTGTGAGACTTTCTTGTCAAACTTCCATCCTTCCCAACACCTGATCTGTTCTTTTCTGCCTGCTATGTCCCCTCGCTCCCCAGTTGAAATCCACTGTGTTAAGCATGTGATAACCACCAATCTCTCTGTTTTTAGCTAAATCCAATAGGCCTCTAGAGCAGTCACCACTCCATGCCAACCCAGAGCAAGGCCAGTCTGTCAACATCACCTGTGAGTTGAAAAGCTCACACGAAGAGGAGAAGTTCTACTTGTTCAGGACTCATGTGCAGCCTGGCACAGTTCTGTCTGTGTCAAATCTCAGCAGGTCAGAGGTTTCTCCCGCCTTTGGGAATCGCTTGGAGTATTCAAGGGAAGGAAATAGAATTGTGGTGATTCTACACAAGCTACAGGAAAAGGACAGTGATAATTACATCTGTGCCCAGGAGGTGAAGGGTTCTGCTCTGCTCTCTGCAAGAGGCACCATGGTGCTGGTTAAAGGTATCACCCTTTCGCTTGTTTAATCATAAATATCTGTTGTTGTGCTGTGGACAGAAAGCTTTTGGAACTTTAGTCAGGACAGGCAAACCTAGGAAAGTTTGCCTAGAAAATTACTTCCTGTTGAGCTCAGACACAGAAACAGACTCTGTGTTTCCACCTGCCTTGTACAACCAGAGGGGAATTCAGACCTTGCCATGATCCTGCAGCTTAGAAAAAGAAAAAAAGGTCAAAACAAGGTAACAAACACTTCACTGTGTGCAATCTGTCACTTTTAGGGTATGGTTAAGTACTTTCAGCACCAATTCTTTGACCTTAGCACGACATAAATGGATTTTAGAAACCATTCCCTCTAGCAAGTCTTGTGTTAAAAAAAAAAAAAATCAAATCACACTGGGGAGCACAAAACAAGTCCTTGGGCTTTTGCTTCAAGCACCACAGACCACAGCAGAGATGTTCTCACATACCCTTGTTACACACTGAGCACTCTGTGAGCGTGTGGTACAAATAGGGGTTTTGATTTTTCTGTGTTCCAAAGCGGGGGTTTCATTTTTCTGTGCTCCAAAGATGAGTTTTTGTTTTTCTGTGCTCCACAGATGAGATTTTTTATTTTCCTGCAGGATTTTGCTGTACCCATTTGCTAAACTGAAGTCAGAACCAGCAAGAGAGCGCTTGATTTTGGTCTTACAAAAATTTAACCCTGTGCATTGAGATTTGCTGAGGCCTTTGTAAAATAAGATTTACAAAGGCCCTAAGAGTTGCAAAGGCTTTTCCTGCAGTCTGCAAAGGCACCTGTGATCCTGTTCTGTGCCACCACCCACAGCTGGGGCAAAGACTCAGTAAAGTGAGGTGGGGGAAATGATATTAGCCCAACAAAGCAGGGGTGTGATTATTAATTAGTGTGTTATTCATATATGAATTAATTGAGGTTTTAGAGAGTTGAAACCCTTTCCACCAGCATTATTCTGCTCAGTGCATTTTATACCACAGCATGAACATGAACATACTCCTGCTTCTGTCTGCACCTCTCACCAGCCTGGCTCTTGGGTAATTCAGAGCCCTCGGGGTTGCAGCGACACTGCAGGAAATCAGTTTTTGCTCCCATTAGGAGTGTGTGGTCCTATCAGTGGTGTGGAGCCTGCTTTTGTGGAGTGCTCCTTGCTGACCCACCTGCAGCCACCCCCAGCCTCTGGAAGAGCACAGGGAATGCCAATGAGAATACTCATGGCGTGAGAAACCTGACTCTGTAGCTGTCAATATCCAAATTTTTGGCTAAATTGTAAAATTATCTTTTTCAGAATAAAAATAAAATTCTGTGGGAAATAGATTTGTAGAGAATTCTCAAAACCTGACAGAAGGTTCACATAGTGTGCATCTGTATGCAAACCTTGAGATAAGAAATTCTGACTTAGAAATGCCATGGAATAAGACAGACATTGCTGGGAGAGAAATGGAGCTAGAAACAAATTTCAAATGATGGCCTTGAAAAAAGGATACCTTGGAGAAATACAACTATGAAAGGTGCATTGTAGTAGGACCCACGAAGGGTACTTTTAGATGATTTGGCTTTAAGGCATATGCAGCATGGTGTGGCAAAAGCTGATAGAAGCACTTATAATGTATTGTACTTAAGAAATAGTTGGCTTCTGATTGTGATGGCGTGAATTAAAACATCTGTCTTGTCTCGCCCTTCACACAAGACTGCAAATGGAATAAAAGTTTTTAAAACACTTCTCAATTACCCCATGTCTGGGTCAGAAAAGAACTTAATCCGACAAAATTCTGCCTCTTTGTATTTATAACCATGCTGCTGTGATTTTAGATGCAGAAGTGGAGCAGGCATGTGAGAAGAGCTCCTGGGATTTGTATGCCCTTCTCATGGTGGTGGCTGTGCTGTTGTGTGCCCTGGTGTGCTGCACCTTGTACCGTGTGGATGTAAGTACAGTCCCCACAGCAAAACTGGGGCAGCTTGGTGGAACAAACTGATACTATTATGAAATAGTGCCAGAGTCAAGAAAACATCTGATAAACCTAAGGAATTGTGGTTCCTTATTGCTCTCCTATTTCGCCACATTTAATATCATCCAGCTGTAAACTCTTGGCAGCTGACACAGTGTCTTATACTCCTGTAACCCTTTGTAAATGAGACATTTATTGTTTTTTGATAACAAACCTCAAGTGAGCTGTGTGGTTGACACAGCCATGTGTTGTGTGTGTATCCCTGAACAAAGACCCTCACTGTTCTGCTTTCCTTGTTTTTTTAAAATTTTTTTGTGAATTGGGGCTGGAGCTGTACATAGCAAGCTTGTAAGAGATGTAACTTGGAGGGGGACACAAGGGCAACAAAAACTCATAAAATAGCCTGATGTCTGAAAGTTGTGCTGGGAGATAAAAAAAAATGGCCCCTTTCCAAAAAAGAAAAAAATATTACATTTTTTTCCTTCACTGGGGTTATTTCTATATGTATACTGCAGAAAATGCCTACAAATTGTCTCTGATAGATTCTTCTGCTATATAAATATTACTGAAAATTAAATGTGTGATTCACAGGCTCCTGTCTCATCCCTTCAAATGTGAATCCAGCAGTGCTAAAAACCAATAGTGTAACATCATTCTGTCAAAGCCCAGTGGGACCTCATGTCCTGTGTTACCAGTAACTGTCTAAGAATGAGCCTTATTTATTATTATTGTAATTTATTATTTATGCCAAAGCTACAGTTACATCCAAGTCTTGAAGGAACTTTTCCTGCAATTGCATCAGACTCATAAAAGAAAGTAAAATAAATAGGCTGATAATTTCCACATGGTCCTCTAAGACCTCACTGGGTCGTGAGAGGAATTTTAAAAGTATGTTTCCTCTTCCAACAGATGATGCAGATGGACTCCTAAGATGGAAAATGACTCCTTGGTTGGGGTCTTTCCAGGCTCTGGTTTGAATGGCTGTTTTCTTTGTTTGGCAGGTGAAGAAATATTTCCAGAGGAAAAAGCCCAATGAGGTATATGAAGACATGTCCTACAACTCCAGACGGAGCACCCTGGTCAGAACCAACACCTATTCCAGAGGTGAATAAACTTCTGCCAGGTGGGACCATCCCCTCACAGGCAACTCTGAGAGCTGCTTTAACCACCTGAACTGAAATTGCTATCACCTACCTTCTTCAGTGGAGGGAAAAACCTCATTTCCAAGGTTGTTTCTACTTCTTTTAATGTTTGGGGGTTTTTTTTGGTTTTTTTTGTTTTTTTTTTGGTACTGTAAAAAAAAATATAGCAAATTGCAAGTGCCCTGAACATGTGTACGCAGTTCAGTGTGGAAAAGCAGCATTTTGGGGCTAAATGCAACATATGGGCTCGTTTCTTTGCTAAATAACCCATTCTGGGATGGATGGGGAGGTCTGGTTCTGAGCTTTGCTAAGTCTCAGGAAGACCATGCAGGTCTGATCAATAATTTGCCATGGATCCACACAGGCATGGATTCCAGTTCTCTCATGGATCCTTGCCCAAGAGCTCAGGCAGCTAAAAGTACTCAAAAGTTACAGCAGGGAAAACTATTTTGCAGAAACTTCAGAAACGTGTCAGGATGAAATGCTGGATCCATGTGGGCTCACCTGCTCCAAGGCCATCATGGTCCCACAAAAACACAATCAAGTCTAAATTTTAGTTTACTGCCTCTGTCAGAGCCATTCACATGACTGATGGGGGTCTTGATGTGGCTGATGAGCAAAGTGACTAAACTTGGGTCCTGGTGGCATCTTGGGTGTCTTGGTTTAAAAAGCCAGGTGTCTGCTAAGGAAGGCAGGAGCCTCCCTTGGAATGGAAAATGTAAACCACCTCCCTCTGAATTGTTATAATTTTGAAATTATAGGGCTCTCAGGTGAACACATGGAAATAGGAATAACAGTTCTTTATTAGGAAATTGTAAAAAAATACAATAGTACAAAAAAAAAAAAAAAAAGCAATAGTACAAAGGAAAGAAAAGATACCACTTCCAGAGTCAGAGCATGCCCTGCCCCCTGTGTGCCAGGGCAGTGTCCCAGCCCCATGCCATGGGGGCTCAGCCCTCCTGCAGTGCCAGCTGTGGCTCTGCTGCAGCAGGGATCCTGCACAAGGGGGGAGTTTTCCTCTGCAGCTCCAGGGCTGCTGCAGATGGGCCTGGGCTCCCTCTGGCCATGCAGGGCAGCAGAAAGCTGCTCCTCTGGCAATGCAGGGGGCAAAGGCTGCTGTGCTGTGCCAGGCTCAGATTGGATCCAGGTAGGAATGCTTGGCTCCTCCCCTGGGCGGAGCATCTCCCCATGGGATGCTGGGATTGGATCAGCCCTGCAGGGACACTCAGTGGCCATGGACAGCAGAGATCTCCTGGAGGGAGGGTTGGCTGTGGGAGAGATAAAGAAAATACTGCCCCAGGGACAGCAGAGAACTGCCCCACTGTCACTGACATATTTTATGAAAAATCCCTTTGCCAGGATCTTTTCTCCTGAGAAGCTGGGAGGCTTCAGCTTCTCCATGTTTTGCTACTTTGGAATGTGATTGGGAGAATTGTTTTCCCAGCATGTGAATTGTTTTTAATTAATGGCCAATGACAGCCAGCTGTGTCAGACTCTGAGTCTGTCACGAGATTTTATAATTCATTCCTTTCTAGCTTTCTGATGTCTCCTTTCTTCAGTACAGTTTTAGTATATAATTTTCTTATAACATATATTGTAAATCAGCCTTCTGAAATATGGAGTCAAGATCCTCATTTCTTCTTTTGTCTTGGGGACCCTCAAACACCACCACACCCCACCTCTAACAGATAGGAATAGAATCCCCCTATTTCTAACCTAAGGCCCTGGGACAGCAGAAATGTTTGTGATGTGCTGGATGAGTTTCTCCGCAGTGACTCCCCACTGTACAACACAAGGTGAAATAATCCAGGGTAACATAAAGCCAATGTCTGCATTCCAACCTGGGCATGACCTAAAACCCCTTCTTATCAAAGGGATTTATCAAAACTCACCTCAAGCAAGAAGAGGCTAAATTTGGGTCGGTAACAGCTTCTAGAGCAGGTGTTTGTGGGGACCTGGGCCAAGGAAGGGCTCAGCCTCCTCCAGGGGTGTTTTGGTTTTGCAGGGTTGGGGCACTGTGAAAAGTCAAAAATCTTTCACAAAGGAATGCTGAAAATTGCCTTGGTACAAGGCAGGGCTGATGGGGGTGGCCTATGGTTGCTGAGGACAGGCTGAGACTGGAGTTTCTCTCTATTGATGTGATTGTTTATTTTTTTTTGAGGGATTAGGGTCAGTTTATCTTTCATGAGTGCATAGCTGGAGCAGAGCCAGGCACAAAGGATAATTCCTCTCCAGAGCTGAGCTCTGACAAGATCCCAGCTTGCCAAGGCAATCCTGCCCCTCAGGAGAGCCCATTTCCCTCCAGATATAGCTCATGAAATGCTGTGCACCAGACCTGAGGGAGAAATCCCCTCACTGCGAGGGGTGGGTGGTGCAGGTTCACCTTGTGAGCATGTAGGTGCTGTCTTCACATGGCCAGACCTGGATTAATTGTGTTTGTGTTGGGGTTTTGTACAGTTCCTCAATATTTTCATACATATATTAAAACCTTTTTCATATGTCTTGCAAATAAATGAGTGTTTCTTTCAGTGGTTTGTTGTGTTATTTTTTTTTTAATAGTGATTCAAGGCTTTTTGAAAATTCTGTATAAACTGCCCCTAACAGCATCCCACTGGACAGCATATTAACTGTTTTCCACTTTAATTACAAAAACTTCAGGTGAAGTTTTCCTTTTTAAAACCAATCACTAAAGAAAACAGAAAAGAACCCTTCAGACCCTGTGTATTCCATGTCTCACTGCCCAAACTTTTCTTGAATTCTGCCAGACGGTGCTGGCACCTATTCTGGCTTTGTCCCTGGAAAAGCCCAGCTCAGGGGTGGGTGGAGAGCTGAGGAAGAACCAAAAAATCAGGTGCCAACCTAGGAACTGAGGTGCCCATAGTCAATCACCTTTTGTCACATTTTCAGTCTTGGAACAAGGTGCAGGTTTAGTTAAAAAGGGGCAAAAGCCCTGAGAGCCAGTGCAGGGAGGTTCACAATGAACAAGGTGGCATTTGAGATAAGTTTTTTGTAGAAACAGTGTTGTGCAAATGTGACCACAACGGTGAAGAAAAAAAAAAAAGCTGTGAAAGGAAACAGTAGTGGAGGTGTTTTTTGATTTTGTGTAAACAAATTAAAAAAAAAAAAAGAAGTAACACCCTTCTGAAGAAAATAACACACAGTGAGCCATTTCATGGGCAGCACAATTAACCCAAGCAGTGGTGAATGAACTGCTGGGGAGTTTAGCTCCAAATATCAGGGAATAATTGGGGATTTAATAAAATTAATTTTATTTTAAATAAAGAAGGCTGGAGCATTCTGAAGATGCAGAGTTGTCTCAGATCTACACTGGAAAGCAGAAAAACTGAAAGTTTTACCCCCAGAGTTGCAGACAGAATTGCTCTGAGCTAATTCTGTTGCCTTTGAATCTTTTTCTGTCTTGTCTCAGCCTCTGGAGAGGGAAATGGTTTTCAGGGAGAGGTGGGAAGTGCAGTTCTGAGGCAGTGAAAACAGTACCAGGGTATTGGTGATGCCCCAGCCCCATCCATGGGATAAAAAACAGGAATTGCAGCTGGGAGCAAAGCAGGCTCAGGTGGGAAGCAGGGCTGCAGTGTCACTGTCTGTGGGATGGGGCAAGCCAAGGCAGCCAAGCAAGGACAGCAGGTCAGAAGCAGAGAAATTCCAACAAACAAGGTACAAAAGAGTGTCTGAAATGACTCAGGGGTCTGCAGGGAGTGACCTGGGCTGAGTGCCCGGGAAGGGGAAGGCTCATCAAGAATACTCTTGGTTATTTGCAGAACTGAAGAAATCAGCCTGCACATGTGGATTAGCGCTGATGGAGCCTATGGACTCAGGGAAATTCAGCTGGAAAAAGCATTTTAACCCCTTGACTCAGGTGTATGTGACAAGGACATGCCTGAACTCAGGTGCCAGGCAGGCTGATAAGCCCAAAATGTTTTGCAGGAGACAGGAGAGAAGCAAGTTCTGCTCTTGTGGTTTGTGGTATATTGCAGGACACTGGAATGTCTCCAGTGGCTCCTGCAATCCAGTGTGTATGTGCTCCAGCAGCTGTGAGTGCTCCATGATCCATGTCTGGGTTTGTGGTCAGGAGCCAGTTTCTCCCACCTGTCTCTTCCTGGGGACTCTTTTTCCATCCAAAACCTCATTCTTCTGCTACAGAATTCAGAGTTTCTGACCAAAATATGTCCAGCCCTCCTGGCTCTGCTGAAGACAAGCTACTCACTGCTGATTTCTCAAGGTCCCTGTGTTAGTAAAAAACCTATTTTCACTCATGGTATGCAAGCTTTTGTAAGCAGTTGTTTTCCAAAGCGTTTAGTTTCTTTTTGAATGCTTTGTCACCCTCAACTTGCATTATATTAGCAGTCAGCTTACAGTCAATTTGAAAACATGAAGGGTTTTTTTTCTGGTTCATAGATTTGGTTTTCTCACAGCTTTGAGGTGCTGAAAATGCTTCATTGGTGCTATTTCTTTAATCTGATATATTTGGTTAATATGCTCCTGCAGTAGTTAATGAGTTCTTTTACTGCTTGTATAAATTTAACAGTATTTATGTTGTTTTGCATGGCTTTTAACACTATTTCAATTCCTTCAGGAATGACTGGTTACTGGCTTTGTGCAACATGCAAGAAATCTTTCCAATTTCATTTGGAGTCTCAACAGGTTTTAACCTACTTTTTTAGAAAATCAATATATTACTCATCACATATAACTCTCTCATACAGCTAGAGCACTCTGCCTTGTCTACAAGAATCTCACATAATTTTTTCATTTAAGAAATGAAAATAAAGCAACCAGCCCAAATACGGACTAAAGGGAATAAACCATTTTGTCCTTACACTTAAGTTTTACAGTGTTGTCACAATCTGTGTGGTACAAGTAGCTTGTCTGTCCAATTGTGGATGGGAGGTGACTCCACTCTGTGCAATTAACTGCTGGTAAGGCTGGATGAACTCTCTGGATGGTGCTAATTC